ACTAGACTAGTTGTTTGAGCCATGATCATCTTCATTCTAGGCTACATGTGCTACAGTCTGTCCTGCTGGATGTGATGTGATTTGTTATACAGGTGTGATGGAGTGTGTTCAGACCAATAGGATGTCAGAATGGTTTTTACACTGCTCATCCAACCACAATCAGATTCACTCTATCCCTGGGCTTCATGTGTCTGGACAGATTTCTATTGATTTATTTTGTTCTGAACAATGAAAAGATGAAATAAAAACAAGTCAAAGTTAAATAGAAATGAAAAACTGTGCGTTTTTAGAAAGTACGGAGTAGAAAGCACAGACAAGTGAATTAAAATGTAAGGAGGAGAAGTAAAACGTAGGCTGCAAAATAATTACTTCACTAAAGTATAAATAACCAACATTTCTACTGAAGTAAATTAACAAAGTATTTGTACTTAGTTACTTGACACTGATCATCAGTAACGTGTTTATGTTTGCTGATTCAGCTGCAGAATACAGAACCAGGCATCTCAGACGGTTAAATTGTTGGAAACTTTGTTCTGTGCAGTGATTCCATGGTTTTATTCTCCATTACAAATCTACTCTGATGAAACTGTTGGCTTTGAACAAAACCTTCTCTGATTTAAAACATCTGACTTTAGTTTATTGAAGATCTGGGGTGATGACCAGCGTCCAGCAGCAGTTAGGACCTTGAAGGTGTCGTTGATGGTGGCTGAACAACCACAGATTGTTGTCTCGGTTGAGCAGGAACCTCCACAATGACACTGATGAGACGTTAGTTCAAGTGCAAAAGCAATTGTTAGCGCTCCACAGCTGGGAGGCAAAGAGTCTTTTGTAAATGGTCAGGGCTCTTTGCATACGAGGACATTAACACCCAAAAAAGGACGCAGAGAAAATGGGAAAGTTTCGGGGGTGTCGCCGAGGTCACGGAGAAGAGGGGACAAGGGTGAGGAGGAGAGGTTCGGTGGCATGGGAAAGTCACCCCCGAGGTGGTTCTGAAAGGACCGGAGGAGGCGGGAGGGGTTGAGAGGGGGTGTGAAGAGGGGGCAGATGGTGCCCCTGGGTGGATGGTGGGTGACGGAGATTTTAACAGAGGTTGCTGGGGGTTGGGTGCAAATAAGCACAGTCACAATACGATTGTCACTGCTGGCCCCTGTTTCTATAGTGGCTCTTTCAACTTGACCCCAGTGACACTGGTGTTTTCTTCAACATGAACGTTGGTCCTGTCATCTTTGATTGGTGGCGTTTGGGCAGATGAAAACTTCAGACCTGCTGCTTTCAGCAAATCTCTGTGACTTCTTGATATGATGAGTCCCAAACGTCCAACAACTTTTGGTATTTCTCTCTGGTGATGGCTGAGCAACCATTAATTTCTGTGTGTTTTGGTAACATTGATGAGACTTCTTGCCTGTTCACGCCCACATTTAGACTCTACGGCCCTGCTGTACTGGTGCTCTGTCATTATCTCAACACTTGAGTCATTCAGCTGAAAGACGGGCTGTATTTCTCTGAGTCAGCTCGTTCAGCTGGATTACTGAGTCAGATGTTTCTATAAAGCCAGCTTTCACCGAGACGACTGGTAGAACTGGAGTGAAAAGGTGATGCTTGTCGTTTGTGTTCAGGTTAACCTCATGCAGTTCCTGGATCTTGCTTGTTTTGCCTCATATGTGGCCCGTCACATTGAAACGAGGATTAAGTCCAAAAGTTGAATATGGAGAAATAGGCAAATATAGTGTTTTGACTTAAATGTTAACAAAAATTGCCTTTTGTCAAAATACAATGATGCCTTATTAATGTATCATTTGAATGAACTGTCTGAAATTTAATCATAAAACAATATTTTGAAGCACTTTTTTGAACAGTAGCAACAAAAAACTGATTTTGAGGAAAAACGCCTTAAATATTTGATATTTTCCCTGTGAGTTAGCAAAGCTGTGTTTCTTTTTAGCTGGGGAATCTCAATATTCAAATTGTTTCCTCTTTATAAGGACATCAAAAATTCCTCAATAAAATGGCATTAAATTAGGATTCAGACCAAATATTTATGTATTATTGTAAACAACAAGACAAATTAAGTCATATGTATGGATTTATTTATGATATCAGAATGATCCAGGTATCAAAATGTAGCTTTTAAAGCCAAGAATRTGAAAATGTAATGAGGTCATTTTGACCAAATTTGACTTCATCCTCATTTCGATATGATGGGTCACATTTAATATTTTTACATGCATGTTTATAGTCTTAGGTTGATTTGAATTTCTAGAAACAACTCTTGGTTATTTGGATGCATGCAGACATATAAGTTTTAGTTCCTCTACCAGAGGGGCCAAAAGTAGGGCAATGGACCAAAATTAGGCCACCAATCCATTTAGTTTGACCCACCAGCAGGTGTACTGGTTATTAGGTTGCAATTTCTTGTTGAAACACTTACAGTCATTCCAGTCATTGGCACCCACTTTGGATGTTATCATCCATTAAATGGATGTTATTAGGCGTCATCAGACCCCTATGGCTTCAGAATGTCCCGACTGGGACTTCTAGCAGGTCCCGCCGCCCATTTAATGGACTGATAACATCAGAATCCGCTGCCATTGGTCCATAGACTATGTAAGGGGTTTAGGGCAGTCATGGTTCTTGTTTTATTTGAATTATATGAAGATTAAATATAAAATGCACGTAGAAGAGACATTTAGATTAAAGTGCACATGTAGATTTGTACACTTCATAAGACCAGAACTACTCATAT